TCCAGATCCTAACTAGTATTAATGAATTCAGTGACAATTTTAAAACTGTGTTTTTTAAATGTAAGTATGGTATCTCTAGTTTCATGTACTGCTTCTCTATCAACTGAAAAGGTCATCTCTAAAATTCACATGTGTGTGTACATTCAAAAGAAATTTAGTTTTTCCTTGCAAAATGTTCCAATGAGAGTGATTCAAAAGCATCCTGGAAAGCGAGTCATCAAAAACAGAGGAAAAGCGTCTTGAGAATATAACCTTGAGAAGTCTGGGGACCTGGTCCACAAATCCTACTGCCACTAAATTTTTGATGGCAAATAATAAAACTCAGTGCAAAGGTTGAGTTGTATTTGAAATTGTATTTTAAAATTAACTAACAGTAAAGCAGTATCTTACTGCACTTAGATGACCCTTAAAGCAGGTGCTAAATGAAAGATAAAACTTACAAAGAGACAATATATGAATGGAAACAGCCATGAATGCAAATAAATTTTGGTAATTTGAGATCAGAAGAGGAGCATGGAAGAAGAAAAGCCATGCAGAGAAAGTTAAGTACTGAGCATGACTGTAAAGACATGACTTAATTTCAAATACCAGAGATGTGCTGCACTTTGTTATCAGGCTACTGTGCAAGTCTGACTGGTTCAGCCGGCACCTAGGTAAGAAGGATATTGTAGTAACTGAGAGGTTTAAACTGCACATCTGTTTTGTCCCAAGGAAAAAAAAAACCATCCTTTTCTCCATGTGATGAGTATTGCCATATAGATACTTTTTAAATTCCTGAACAGGGACAAGGGCCCATCATCCATTCTCTGTTAAAATATATAGAGTAGTCTGTCAGCAAGTTGCAGAGGAAGGAACAAGAAGTTCATTCATAGTTGCACACTCCCTGGTGTGCCAAAATTTCACTCTCTGGGTGACAGTTAAGCATCTGGATATAAATTTTCATGGAAGAAACAAAGCAGTGTGTGTATGGTTTTGTTCACAGATTTTTTAATTTTAATTTTTTGTCCTTTCAGGACTTATTTTCAGAACAAAATAGTGGCAGATTTCCTTTTAACCCAGCAAACTTTAGTTGTTACAGCTCATTATGTATTTTGTGGTGCTGAGCTATGAATCTGCTACTTCAATTACAGAAACTGCCAACACACATACAAAAATCCAGAACATAGAGGCTAAACCATTCCTGCTTTTTATCTTTGGAATTACTTTTGCATACTCTGACAATTTTCCCTTATAAACAAAATGCAGTAACTAACAGATACAGTTAAGGAATGCAAAACAACTAATGCAAAACTTTGCTGTCAAAATAGAGAAAAAACTACTTTTTCAAACCTGAAGTTGGCACAATTCCTGGATTTTCTCTTCACCCTTCCCTTTGCTCTTCACACGCCTGAGTAATTAATTATCAGAAGGGAAGAAGAGGAATTAAATGCAAGATCATGCAAGTGGAAATAAAAATGTATGAGTCTTACCCCAAGATGAAGTCACTTATTAGGAGATCCTGAAATTTATAGCAATGGATTTTGCATATCTGGATAGATAAGGTAGAATAAGCTCAGAAGATAAAAATGAAAGAGTGTATGTAAAAGGATCTCTGAAATTCGCATAGGTTCCTGAATACATGGCTGCCACGCAGAAGCCAAAAGGAAAGGGACACTTACAGAAAAACTGGTCTTTGTACTCTTCATGGGGAGATGAAGGGAGAGTTGGAAATATGGACTGTGAGAGCATCATTTCTCATTTCCAATTTTTTTGACAGAACAATTGTCAGGAGTTGGAATTTCTATTTTGTTGCCCAGTGTGTTCAGAATAGCTCTTGTCAGGAGAAGCAGTATTGGAAATATAATGAGAAATACATTATAGAAAATAAAATTCTTTACTACTTTGACCTTTCAGTCCTTTACACTGTGCTTCATGGTGACATCCTCCATTTTGTGAAGGATAGCAAGGCTGTCCATACAAAGAGGAGAGCATTTCAAAAAGCTCCCTACTCTGGTTATGGGTTTTGTTGGAATTTCTGGATTACTGCCTCTTCTATTCTCTCTTCATGATAAAGAAGCAATGAAGCCTTTCCCATTTGGAAGGGGAGGACCAGTGGAGGAGGAGAATCAGAGAAATTACTCCCTAATTACCTCTAATAGAGTAGTTTGTATTTTAATGCTATTGCTTATTCTTGCTCTGCTTTGAGAAAAATAGAAATTCCTGTCTTTGTACTCAGACTTGACTGCTCTGGAAAGCAGGAGCAGTGCCAATTCCAAAAGGCAATCTGAGAAGTGCTGTCTCCTCAGCAATATTCCTGCTTGTCTGTGCACTGGTGTGGACACACAAAGCTGGCTCAGCTGTCTGGTCATGTTTTCCTCCTCCAATGTGCAGAACTGGCATAGCCTGAGGGGCAGGCAAGACAGAGAAAGGTCTGGATTAAGCTGCTTTGTTTGGTGAAGGTTTAGTTGAGCTATCTGGGATAATGATGGGTATCTGGATCAAAGAGTGAATTATACATTATTCATGAAGATTCACTGAGACTTGGGGCATTCACTGCCACCTGGAAAGGGACATGAAAAAATAAGGAAAGTAAGAAGAAATTCAAATGGGAATGGCTCCTACTTTAGTTCAGACTTTACTGAATGCGTGCTTTCAAGTGGAAAAAAGGGTGAGAAATAAAGATCAAAAACTAAAATAAAGCAACAATTAATGGCAATATATCCTTATGTAGCAGATTCATTGCTATCATGTCTGAGTAGAGGCCTTTAAATGTAGACATGATTTCTGAACCTGAGAGAATTTCAAGCTCTCAGGGACTGACTGTTCCCAAGGGAAAATCTTGAGAACCTTTCCTCATTCAAGGATTATTTGTGTAAATAAGGCATTACTTTCCCAAAACAAGACACAGGTGTTTTAAGAGTGTTGTCTCTCTTGTCCCACCAATGGGATGAGGACGGTGTTGTATCTTCTACCAATCAGGATGATCTGACCAGAACAGCTTATAAATAGGGTTCTGAACGCCTGCAATAAAGGCTTTATTTTGCCTCACAAAAAGCAGCTGCTGTGTGTGTGATTTCTGGGAACCCTTGCAATACCTCGCAATACTTCGTGTGCTCTAGTGACATTTAAATATACGTTATTTTCAGGAAACTGAACTGGGCTCTTTCCTTACTTTCTCTGAAGGGTTTTATAATTATTTTATAATTACTGAAGATAATTATTAACAAAAGGTGTACTCAGATGATTAATGTAATCTCTCTGCTTAACCTATACTCCTATCCAAGTAAACATTTATTTCTTGTTTAAATTAAGAGCAAATAAAAGCCTACGTTGTGTAACCTGAAGAAAAATTGAAACAGGAGCAGCTCAAGTTTTCCCCAAATTAAATTTCTGTGGTATTTTGACCTATTCTGCAGTAAGTGTTCACATGATTTAGAGTGCAGCATCTGTCTATACTCCCTCTCTGCAGCCCTTCTGTCTACCACAGAATATCTTTTACAGGGAGGTGTTGTGCTACTTGAAAATGACCACTGTTAAATTGGTGTGCTGTTTTAACTCAAGTACAATCTGTATTTTGATTCAACAGGTGAATACTCAGTACAGGAGGTATCTATATATTCAGGGTTGTATACTCAAATGGAGGGCCATTTCAGTGTGGGACAGGTTATGCACTGAGAAGGATTTGCTTTCACTATAGAGACAGCTGACTAGATATGTTTTCTACTCTGTATATTGGCTCCAAATTTCAGCTGTGTATGTGTGTTAAAGATGAGTGAGAGTCTTTTATCCTATTGAATCCTTCTCTGCAACCATCCCCACATGAGGGGACTGTTAGGGCCCTGCAGCGTCTAGAAAAATGTGAATACTGATTATATTTATTTAAGGCAAGAGCCCTCAAATTGTGCTTTATTAAAGAGTCCTCTCAACTCTCCTCTTTGAAATGCAAGCAAGGTTAACGAAGAAGAATAAAACTCTGAGGTTAGTGTCCATTTAGTTGCAAAATAGCCTATGATAAAAGTAGAAACATTTCATAGGAAAGCCTCCTCTCTTAATCTTCGGACTGGATTGAAAAATCTGGAAGTGGTGCATTATACACAGAGTGGAGCTGTTGATTGTTTCTAAGTTTATATGTGAAGCATGAATTTGAAATGTGCTTAGAAATCCATGTCAGTACTTTTTGTTGTCCTGGAGACTGAGCTTCTCAGGATCTCGGTAAATGGTACCTCTTCACAAATGTGGGGAGGGGGAAGAGGGCATATTTCTGGCATGGTTGATGTTTTGCACAAAATTTCAAAGTCTAGAAGAAGCAACTCAGAAATACTCTATCAAGCCCACATAGTGTCCATCTGCCATACACTGGCTTCTTAATCTTATTACTAAATGTCACAAAACATTGTAAAACTACTATGCTTGAATAGGTAGTGCAGCTGAAGACTAGATTGTGAATGTGGAAAATAGGAACTCTGTTTTCAAAGTAAAAACAGAGGCTGACTAAACCTCTCAGGAATACCATACAGGAGATCCTTCCTCTTTCTTCACTGACCTATCTGTGGGGTGTGTGTGTGAGTTTTGGATACAGTGACTGTCTGTGCCAACCCGAGCGGGTTTCTCAAGAGATACTTTGGACTGGTAGCAGCAACAAAAACTGTTACTGCTGACCTCAGCAGTAAAATTCTCATCTTTATTGAAGTGTGGGAATAATATACGGAGCTGCACTAGTACAAACTGCTGAAGCACCTTGGCGGTGCTCCAAGCATGTGGTTTTTCTGATGAAGTTATTAATACGTCAAGAAGACAAAGTATGTGTATTTAGATGCCAATAAAATGATTCCCTGTAGGATCCACAGGCTGCACTTCAATGCTAAACTGCTACGACTGTGTGAGTGATTGACTGCCAGTCACAACTGAAACATTTCTGGGCGTGTACGTGCTTTTGCTTATCTGCAGGTTAAATCCCATCTTGTGGTAAACTCTGTCACTGCTTCAACCCTTAACTGAGATGCTTCTGTCCATCTCTGTAGATGGAAGTGCTGTGCCATTGCTACTAAAGAAGCCCTGACCACCCCACAGCTCATTGACTGAAGCCTGACCTTGCTACATTCATGACCCGCACAGTGCCCCAACCAAGCTTTGTTTGGTCTCCAGACAAAAAAATCTACATTAAATGGACCAAAAAGGAAGAAGTGTGAGTATTGCTGCATGTGGCAATTGAGAAAGGAATGAGAACAAAATGGGATCTACAATTCCCATTACAATTATTCTTGGGTAAGGGTGTAGTTTTTCTGCTTAAGAAAAATCAAATAACTTTGTATATATTCTCTATCTAGTCCAAATTGGATGCAGAAGAAGGGGAATGAGCTTGTTTAATCTGGTGGGATAGACAGGTGACCTTCTATTAAGGGTGGAAGTAAGGAATTGGGCTTCAGATTAAGACAAGGGATCTGAAAGATTTCCCCACTTAGTGGTCAGTAAATTAAAACTTTGCTTAAGTTCTTGAATTCTCCTCTCCAAGATTTTGCATAGATTCTTTTCATAACAGAATTCAGCAGCTGAATCTACCAGTCACACCTGTGAACCCATAGTGGGAAACTGTGATTTACAGAAAGTTCAGCACCTGATCAAATAGAAGAGTAATGCAAATGGATGATGACACTGTAGAAATTGTATGAAAAATATGATAAAAGTGATTATGGAGCTGATAAAGCCAAGGATAAATTTGACAATCTCTGCAGTTGTATGTTTTGTTCACATTACAAGCTTTTTATCTATTGTGAAGAATCCTCCCACAAAAAATGGGGAAATGGTATAGAAAACATTCTCAGTGCTAATCCTGTCTCTATTTGAGTTTTTCAAAGATTGTTTTTTTCTGAAGTGCCAATTAATTCTCTTCACATGCCCAGCCTAGCTTGAGTCATCTGAAGTAAAATCCTGACTTGCTGAAGCTGCCAGCAGTCTTGCCATCATGCCAGGTATCTGGCACATGCAGTTTTAATGGAAATTTACCCTGAGGTCTTGATTTCTTGAGTGCCATGGGTTATCTCAGTGTTTGCATCCAAAAGCTTTGGAAAAATAACATGGGGACTCTGAAAGTTATTGTCTCATTCTGCTAATGAGAAATGCAAACACAGAAAGCTCAAGAATATTTATGTACAGCATTGCTTAGGTTATGATTACATATATCCTGAATATGAAAAATGAGGTGTTATAAAATACACTCATATTTTCACATCCACAGGGCTTCAGTGAGAATTTGCTTTTTCTCATGTGGAGCTTTTATGCTTGATACCAGGTGCTAATGATTCCTGTCTGCTTAAAAAAGACAAAAAACAATCAAACCATTCAGCCAAGTTCATCATGTCTTTCGAAATAGAACTTTAATAGTGAGAAAAAATAGGAGGGTTTTCTAGAATCCTTTTTTCTTTCCTTCTTTTCCAGCTGAAAATTGGCAGCTATCAGCAAATTGAAGACAGGGAAACTTTCAGAAGCATTTGCTTTCTAAGATGCTGTTGGCTGCAGTCTTCTTGATATGAGAATTTTATTTGCTTCTTGCATTTTGTTGGAAGCTTTTGACTGAGAATACAAGAAAAAAATATTTGAATTGCTTTTGGATTTCTTACAGAGGTTTTATCTTATTTTTAAAATCTGTGAGCTGGATGTGAATTTCATTCCTTCTCATTTTTCCTTTTGCCGCTGAATATGTTTGTATCCAGCACAAAGTGGAATGCAAAATAATTGAGTAATTTGTAATACTGAATATTAATACTGAAAATAACACAACCCCCAATATTCTCAGCAGTTCCATTTGTAACTAAAGATTTGACCTGTAGTAGAGATAACAGAGTATTTTGATATTCTCAGAGTTCTATGTTTGCATTAAAACTTTAAAAATCTGTCCCAATCTGCTGAGATTTTTACTTCATGATGATTTATTCTCAATGACACCTTAGTTTTCAAAACGCTTGTAGATTCCGCTCCCCC